TGTACAGCCTTGTAGAATTCACCATTTATCCTGTTTTACATATACAGAAGCTCTCGCTATTCAGAGAAGCTATTATTTTTAGGTATTTGCATAACACGGATCCTGAAAAGTTTATCCAAAAGCATCATATTTTGAGGGTTTACACGGGTCATTATTATTGGCATACTGTCTTCCTCTGAAACCACCAACATTTCTACTCTAGCATATTGGATCTAATATGAATTCTGTATTTTCTTTTTAAGTTTGCTAAGACTCACGCAGCTTTTAACAATGCTTCAATAAAGCGGTCACTACTAATATTACATATTTTGCACCTCACCAAAAACGTCTCTGGTGCATGTGTATATGCACAAAGCAAAAAAAGCATAAAAATGTAGCAAATGTTAGCACGACAGGAGGGAAGTAGACTGTCATCTGATAGTGCCCATTCTATCACACAAAGCAAAGCTGTCATGAGAATGATTTAGTATGTGCTGCTTTTCCAACCATGATCATGTCTCCTGTGCTTGACATGCCCTTAATTTTTCCTGATTATTTTTCTTTTCTGACAGCAGTATACAAGAATGTCCTTGTGTGAGCATACACTTTCTCCACTCTGTATACGTTTTTCATGTGGAATCCATTTGGAACTCTCAGTATTTTTGTTATTACCAGGGCAGGAATTTATTCTGACTGAGAAACGTGTTTGCATGCACAGAACTGCAAAACAGTGCCCCAAAACTTGAACAACCAGATGATAATTATGTATCTCCACCTATTCTAGCATACACGTCGTATTGTTACCAATTTTTTTAAAAAATTCATATAGGTGGAGAATCTAGAAATACGTTATTTGACTTTGAATAAAACTTTCATCTTAAACTGCATACACGATTTCTGCTTTAGAAAACAATGTACAGTGCAGTTAGACTTCATTTAATGTCACAAAAACTTCCATGGATTATCTTCCATGCAAGATTTTTGATTAGCAAAGGATTATTTCAGTAATTTAAAACAGAAAAATATTAATACAGATTATTTAATATACAGGCAGTATGTTTACATACCTCAGGAGTCAACTTTGCTATAGATGTGAAAAGCATGGACACAATCTTAAAAACAAAACAAACAAAACTCACTTAGACTTGTGCTTATTCAGTGAAAATAATAAAAATCACCCCATTACACTTATTAGATAAGAATTTCAACAAATAGCTATAGTTTCTCATACTTACATGTTCTGCGAGCCGATTATTGTACCGACACAAACTGAAAATGAGATTGCAAGTTTGCCTGATGTTGATACCATCACGAATATGTTGAAATAAAAAAGGAAAACCCTGCAACAAATATTAAGATATTAGTACATATTCTACAATTACATATGTACACATACAAATGTGCTTTTTTTTTTGAGGCTTATACAGTCATGTTTAAATGTATTACCTTTCCTCCTGTTAATGCTGCCATGTCGTTTTGTGACAAAGTCAAATGCCTAAAATAAAGAAAAACAAACCTTTACCATTTTACTTATGAGATTATCAAGTAAGGTTAAGGGGAAATACAGGACTGTGAGTGTTAGTTTATATTCTTCAGTATTATTTTCTCTTGTATATTGTCTGAAGACTGATAAGTATTGACATAAAACGGAACAAAGATAATAAGTATTTTGTACTTAGACCAAATAAAGAAAGAAATCCAAAAGTGGGCAACTGAATGTGTTTGAGGATTTAGCCTCAGTCTTTTATTTGGCCAAGAATGACAAAACATTTTTCTTTTAAACGGTTAAAAATATAATGGGTCCATATACAAGCTCATTTACGCTGTTTAAAAAGCCCACAACACGCCTTCCAAACCCATAAAATCTCCAATTCTTTTCTGAACTAGCTTAGATTAGAATTAATTTTGGTTTTTCAGAAGCCCTTGCCTTTCTGAGCGAGACTGTTCAACTAGAAGAGCAATCAGGGCAATCATCTTCTCAAGTGCAGCAGGCCTGTATTTTTCTTCTGCTAAAGAAAGTATATCTTCCTCTTCCTCCTCTTCCTCTCCTTCTTCCTCAGAAAGTACTTCAACCTGTGGCTGTAAGGAAAAAAAAAAAAACCACAAAAAACTTCGATGTGGACATTTTGAGCCTTAATTTCAAAGAGCCTGTACATGGTTTTGCATATATTCTCTCCTCTCTTTTATCCAAAACAACTTAATAAGCTTGCATGAATCAAACCAGGTAAATATCTAATCCCTTGATTTTCATGTCGAAGCATTCATTTTGCATAAGCTAAACTGCATTTACAAATGCAAAAGCTAGGCTGGTTGAAGTCACTACATAGCTTGATATGGTGGTCTATTTAATAAAAAACCCAAGTAAATCTAAAAGCTTAAGTTGTACAATAGGGGTAAAGCAATCAATTGTTACCATTAGTAGCATAATGCGGGCAACTTTAATTGCTTCTACTTAATCACTATTCCCATACTAAACAGAAAACACTGCTTTACAGCAGAGCCAATTCAGCATCTTTTTAAAATACTATATTCACTTAAACAGTGAAAGAAAATTGTATGAGCAAAGCAATTTTAATTTAACAGCTGAAAGATGGTTCAAGAGACATAGCACTAATGATCACATACATGTGAGATATGAAAGACTAGTTCTCGTTATACAAGATACTCAAACTTACATTTTCAGGTCCTTTAGTTCCCATGTAGAAATGGACCATTGTAGATATGGCTTGCAATGAAAGCAAGAACTGGCTCTGAAATGCGCAGATATTGCATTACTTGAAGATACATACACGCATAAACATACCAAATTGCCAAAACTACAAGGCTATACTCACTTCCTCTTCTCCCATTTTGGCAAATTCGTAAAGAAAGGCAAAGTATTCCGTGAGATGTTTACTGTGAGGCTTAACACCATGCTCCATAATTGACAAGAGTGTCTTCACAAAGCGTGTTACACAAGAGCGACTGCCGATGTCTTCCACAGGACCATCCATGTCATCCGAACTGAAAACGAAATCCAATGTAGATATTTCACGCAATACATGGGGCATAAAATCTTCTTGAACCAGTCAAAAAAAAAATTCAGAAGAACTTAAGAGTTTTTTACTCTGTCCTACTACCATACTCAGATCTCTAACACTTTCTCTTTACGCCAAGTAGAGCCTAAATAACAACGTGACTTTAGGTAAGGTAGCATCCGTTACTGAAAATGTTGAAAGGTTCATAAAGTTAGTCTTCTGAATCAAGATTCTAGTCAGGAAAAGAATTCTTAAAAAAAGCAATATTAGGGGATCTGTCGCTTAAAACCAGCTTCTTGATTCGCATGTCAAATTTCCTGAGTTGCAAGAAAGAATGCTGTTATAGCCAAGTTTACTGTGGGAGCAAGGAAAGGCAGTCTCCTAAACACATATACAGGATCCTCACAAGGCAGAAAACACTCACTTCCAACCTTATTCACCTACTGAAAGTGGGATCTTATCACTGACCAAAACCAGTGACAGAGTCTTTTAAAGTAAGGCTTCCAGAGAAAACTGAATTCTGTTTTTTCCAGGAAAACTGTATCTTCATGTCCTGAATTTTGTTACAGCAATATATTTATTATAAAGTCGGCCATTTTTGCTCTGGAAAAAAGTTATCACCAGGATCACAAGCTTAACCCAAGAGATGAAAGAAAAACCACTTTCATCTTCTCATTATGTATCAAAAAGAATAAATATTTCTTAATCGGAGACAAAGTGACAGTTTTCTTGATAATTAGGAGAACAAAACAGAATCTCGTAGGTTTTTTTTCTCAACTTTTTGACAAAACCTGTGATTTAACTATATGACATAGGACTGGACTCTCACCTCCAACCTCTTTTACTGGATGTAAATATGAAAATTTGCACCTACATGCCTCTGGATCCAATTCACAATTGGATTCTCATGTCTACGAAGTGAGATTTACACTTCCAGCACATTACTGGCAGTGAAAAGAAAGACTATGCTGAAAATCTACTCTAAGAGAACAAATGTTTCCTACAACGCATTTTTAGACACCGGCTTTTCCAACCACAGTATTTTTAAACAAATCGGAGCACTCTGGGTAGAATAATAAAGAACAATTTAAACAGTACCATTATAGGTTTACAAGACCACTTTGAGTGATTCATTACACAAAAGCGGTTGCTGTAACGCATGCAATAACTAGAAGTTTTCAGGTGTTATTATTTTACCAGTCTTCCATTCCTGGCTGGAGGTAAAGATGTGCATGCACTGGCCTCAGTCTCTGTATCACATGAATACACAAACGCTGGAACATCTGCAAATGCATAAGTAAATGAACTCCACATGTTCATTCTTTTGCATATATGTCAATACATATTTTCTAAGCAACGAATATTTTGTCTACAGGTACTACTTCCAGCTCTACATGATTCAAAGGAACAGCTGAGGTTGAGATGCCCACATTCCATTTATTAGTGCATTGACACATCATATTTTAACAAAAATAGTCAAACCTGTTTTTTATGAACAGATCTTACGGAGGGACTCTAAAAACCCGTTTTAATATTGGTGTGCACCATACACTACTGAAACATGACTTAAGACTGCTGCTCAGAAACTTTGTTTTTTCTTCTACCTCTGTTTCTGGAATGTTTAGATATTTTTGGCAAACTTTCCCTCCTCACCTGCCT